TTTTTTAGGGTTGGAGTATATTTTGCATGAATTAAATAAATATTTCAAGAAATATATGTGAAAGGTATTTTGCGCCTATTAATTTAGTATTTACATATTTCAAAACGCATGAAGGGAACTTCAAATGTAGTTTAAGTAAAGGTATTTTAAAATGATTTTTAGAAGTATATTTTAGTACTAAGTAACAAAAAAAGAAGTTTATATTTTCGGTATATTTTTCGTGTACTTACAATTATGAATCGTATTTCAAATACACTCAAATTAGAATGTGGTATATTTCAAACGTATTAGTTTTCGCTAAGGGACCTAAGGCACAAATCTCGACACAAGCGGCATTATCTCATAAATTTGAATCGTGAAAGACCAAGCTCTGGGTTCGGTAAAGCCGTGGATGAACTGCAAAAGAATATTCCTCCTTCAGCCAAGTATTATGAAACCCCATCCTGCCCTCCCTGGACACTGCATGTCCCAGAAGTTTTTATGAATGTGCCAGGTCTCATCCAAAAAGCAGCACAGTCACAAGTAATTCAACTTCAATTGACGCTCAGTCATATTCACTATGCATACTTTGACCGTGTGCATATATACACAGATGGCTCTACACGTACTAGTACATCAGCCTCTGCAATAGTTATACCAACTCTCAATACAACCCGTAGCTTCAAGCTGTCACACAATGTCCCTTCAACAACTGCGGAGCTACACGGAATTAAGATGGCACTCCAATTCATCCACTCTCAAACAGTTTCACAAAAGTGGGCAATTTTGACAGACTCACGGGCTGCGCTGCAGTCATTAAAGCATTCCCTCACCTCTTCATCCAACCCACACTTGTGTTTTGAGCTTTTGTTTAGCTACGCAGAGCTCAAAAGAAGCGGGCATGATGTGGTATTCCAGTGGATTCCGGGGCACACCGGAATAGCTGGAAATCAGGCTGCAGATGCTGCTGCCTCTAATGGTCACCTATTACAAACCACGGACACCGTACCTTTTACGAAAACAGACGCTCGATCGTTAATTATGTCACTTGGTAGAGAGGAATTTAGAAAACTTTGGAAGTCACCAGACTATCATTACAAGCCACTTTTCAGAATCGATCCTTCTCTAAAAGGAATATCTCCAAAACATTTACCAAGGAAGCTCGAGACCCTTTACCACCGCATACGTCTTAATGTCGCATATACAAATCTCCAAAGATTTAGGTATGGCCACGCGGCTAGCCCGAATTGTCAACAGTGTGGTATACCCGAAGATCTCAATCACATTTTTACAAGTTGCTCTAAATTCGATGACGCGAGGTGGACACTACAGGCCACCTTACAACAACTTTATGGCGAAGCTTACAGTTTTAAAAACATGCTAGAAACTTGGAAGCCGCAAGATAAGCAACGAGGACCATTAGACGCGTTTACAAACTTTCTCGAAGAAACTGGGCTGATAGACCAACTTTAACTTTACCTGGAATCGTTTAACTATATACGTACAGCCTACGTGAGGCGACGTGAACTGAAAGTGAACACTAACTCATTTATATCTCGTGTGTGTTTATGGACAATAGTGAGCAATGACTCAGTGTTTCTGCGGTACAACGACGTTTCGTTTCTTCATCTGTGACGGTGTGTGTTGGTGTCTTCAGCATTACAACCCTATGACTGATATGTGAAAATCTGAACCTGTATCCCTGCCTTCCCTGCATTTCTGCATTCTTCTGCAACCTTTCTTCCCGCCTCCCTTCCCATGCAGAGTAGCCTGCCAGACTACGTGTTTGGCTAAACTCTCTGTTGTTCTTCCCAATAAAAAAAAAAAAAAAAAAAAAAAGCAGAGGGTCGGGCAGGCGATCCAGAGTCATGGACTCTGAGCGACTTATTGATTGGGTACGACCTCATAGCTTTCAATTCGATATGTGTGACGCTGGTTTCAAGGACACGCAGGTAAACATGATCGCCTTCGAAAGAGCTCTCTGTCTCGGTCCCTCAGCCTAGGAACAAGGTTCGCAGGGGACCCGTCGGTATCTCGGTGGCGAATGATGTCGCGCACCCAGAAGGCTCTTCTGGGAGTTAAGCCGTCCACACCAGATATGTACTAATCGCGTATGTAAGAGCATTTGTCGCATTTCTATTTCAGCATCCCACATGTTCGCCATGGTGCTGCTGGAGCGCTAACAAGGCGCTACTGGAGCGCTAACAAGGCGTCACTGGAGCGCTAACAAGGCGCTACTAAAGCGCTAACCACGCGCTATATTAGAACGAAGTCACGTGCTGCAGCGCCGCATGAGCGCTCCATGGAGCGCTCACGTAGCGCTAACTTAGCGCTCCGCTGTATGTGTGAACAGGCCTTTATTCGACTGGATCACAAAGCGCGCGCCATCAAGATACATGTTGAATTTCTGCAGGGCGAATATGATGGCTATAGGCACTCAAGCTCGCAAACATTGTAATTTCGTTGAGCTGGTGTCAACGTATGGCTAGCAAACGCTACGGGTCGTAAGACACCATCAAAGTCTTGAAGCAGCACAGCACCTAAACCGTAGCCGCTCGCATCGGTTTGCCGTACAAACGGACGGTTGAGGTCTGGGAGCTTCAAAGATGCTGTCTCAGCAATAGCTCTGGACAGTTGAAGGAAAGCATTTTGCTGTGCCTCTGTCCAACGCCACTTGACGCCTTTGCGCAGCAGTCGTTCAGAGGCCGCGTTATCTCTGCACAGTGGGGAATAAACTGGCGGTAAAATCCAACCATGCCAAGAAATCTCTGCAAACTCTTTGCCTCATCTGGGGGAGGAAACTCAGTTATGGCCCTCAGCTTGTCCTCATTAGGGCGAAGCGATCCATCGTCGATTACAAAACCGAGCAGGTTAATCTCAGATGTCGCCAGTTGCATTTTTCCCGGGTGAACTGTCAAACCAGCATTCTGCATGCGCTCGAGTATAGTCCGAAGGTGGAAAAGATGTTCTTCGAACGAGCGTGAGAAGACTACTACGTCATCCATATACGCCATGGCGTAGTTGTGCCGTGCGTCCCCAAGCACAATGTCCATAACACGCTGGAATGTGGCAGAAGGGTTGCTCAAGCCGAAAGGCATGCGCACAAACTCGTACAATCCTCTGTAGCATGTGAATGCTGTTTTCTCAATGTCAACGGGTTCGACCTCTATCTGGAAGAAACCGCGACTGCAGTCAAGATTCGTGAAAAAACTGGCGTTTCCCAAGTTGCACATGATCGACTCAATCGATCATACGCGTCACGAACGGTTACCGCATTCAGGCGCCGGTAGTCGACGCAAAGCCGAGCCGTTCCATCCTTCTTGGGGGCAGGGACGATCGGGAAGGCCCAAGGGCTCTTTGACTCACGTACTGTAATGGTCGCGTAGGGCCATTATAAATGAGTGGAAAGAGACAGGAAAAGCTAGGATAAAGACAGCGCCCCGAAAGGCCTGTAGAGATGCTGAAAAGGCTTACATTGCCGGCGCGTGGGCCGCGGGGTGCCGAGGTGCAGAGCCCAAGGCGGGAACCTCGACGAAAGAAAGAGACGTCGCACCAGCTCGGAGTTTTTGTGAAGACTCTTCTATTTTCAATATGTACATAAATCCAGAGACAACGCGTGCCGCCGTCAAGCACGTGGCACCATCTCGTTGCAACACTAACCACGACTCCTTGCGCCATCTAGCTTTGTTGATGGCACACTACATCTTTTCCCCCCTTAGAAGAAAATGACGTTGGACAATTTGCTACCGACCCAAGAAACAGCTTACTCTTTTTTTAACCATGTATAAATTCACACGCACACAAAATCCTACCAACCAATCACTACAAGCAAAAATAATTGTGAAGTGGTCGGAGAAAATAAGGATAAAGAAATACATTGGAAAGATACAATCATTAATGCTACACTTTGCACTATGTCGAGCAGAATTCAGTTAGACTGAAAAGGGCTCTCTTCACTGCAACCAAATTGTCACTGACGAGTCCTTTGGAACAAAGAACAACACTTTCAAAAATCTCACGGTTTGACGAGTCATTTGAAACAAAGATTAACACTTTTACTTCCACGATTGAAATGGCTGACTAGTCCTTGGAAACATAAAGAATAACATTTTCACTTCAAACACTTTGACCGAAACCTCTATGTACATAACATGGAAACTTGATACTACAAACACACGGGAGAAGTGCTAAGAAAAAATTTGTTCACATCTATATTACAAAATGCATTGCACGCTGCATGAAATTTCAAACCACTATGACTTAAGTGCCAAAGTTTTTAAGGAGCGTCCTTGGAGTAGATATCCACTTGAAAGTCACGAAATTTTGCGGGAAGTCGTCTACGCCGCTTGGGGCGTTGTGGAGTGTCCGATGGGGATAGTGCTGGGGTACGATATGTCCTCGGTGGTGTGTCTGCACCACCGTCACCTGATGTAGGAGTCGATTCTTGGGTTGCCTCGGGACTTGATTCCGGGTCTTCTGCTAAACCAGGAGCCACTGAAGACTCGGAATGTGTAGAGGCCTTTGGCCCCACGGAGTGCAGGGACTTCGCTGTGACCGTTGCGGAGCTAGATGACGGCAGCTCACTGCATTACCCGAGTCCCAGCTGTGATGAACTTGATGCGGTGCTCACTATTGCACCGCTTGAAGGAACGGAAGGTTCAGGACCCTCCTGGAAAGCGACCCTGGGGGCCTCTTGGAAGACTAGCCGGGGCAGCCGGCAGAACTGGTGGCTGGCTGCTGGCTTGGACTGGTACAGCAGCGGGAAAGGCCGCTTGGAAACCGGAATCAGGAACGGCACCGGGGACTGGGGTGGCGGGAATGCCACCGGAAACCACTGCATCTTGCACCGTACAGGGTACCACGGAACTAGTGCCGGGTACGCCAGGAACAGGGAGGGCACCGGGTACTACCGGTACATGGGCAGCACCAGGGACCACAGCTACATGGGCTGCAGGAGCCGTATGATGAGGAACGACGCCTGGCACAGCAGGATCATGGGCGGCGCCAGGGGTCCATGACTATGGGCACCAGGCGCCACAGCAATATGGCCAGGGCCGGGTGCCGCAGTAGCATGGGCGGCCACAGGGGCCGCAGTGGCAGGGACGACCTCTTGGGCCGTCGGGACAAGACCGGCATCAGGGGCTGCAAAAACAGGACCGGCCGCAGGGGCCGCATGGACAGGAATGACGCTGGGGGCCGCAGCACGCAAAGTTGCAGGTGCCGGACCCTCAGGTGGCACATGGCCCAGGCTTATAGCTGGAGCCGCATTAGTTAACGTGGGGAATATGTCATCGTCCATAAGCCACAACGGCTGACGTCGGGGTGGTTTCAACGTTGTACGTGTCATTTTGTCTGCATCCCATATGGTTCCATCATTTAATCTATATGTGGCTGGCCCTACTTGTTCATGTATATGTTGCGGTGGAGCATATTTGTTGCTCATTTCCCCTCTAATGTTGGGTTTGAAAACCTTTACTGATTGCCCAGGAGCAAAAGCAGGGTACTTGACTGCTCGCCTGGCATCGGAATACTTCATCTTCGTTTGGTATTCCTTGACTCTATCAGGAAGCTCTTCCTGAACAACATGTGGAGGGACAGCGGACTCTGGGGTCCCTCGCCCTTGAAGATGCAGTCGCGTCCGGTCGGTGCGACCATGTAAAAGAAAAGCTGGCGTTTCTCCAGTCGTGGCATGGCGCTTACTCCGGTATACCCCGAGATATTCTGTAATGGCTTCGGAAAGCGGACGATGTTGGACGAGAGCCAACTGAATAACAGACTTGAGGACTCTATGGAGTCTCTCTACCTGGCCATAAGCTTGGGGATGGTAAAGGGATGACTTCACATGTTTGATGCCATGCGTCTTCAAGAAATCGCTGAATTCCTTCGAAATGAATTGAGAGCTGTTATCTGTCGTGATCTCCTGCGGCAGACCTTCGTGGGCAAAGATGGACTTCAAGAACTTTATGACTGTAGCAGTCGTGACGTTGTGGGCTGGTGCCACTTCCGGCCACCTACTGTGGTAATCTACCACTGTAATGAAAAACCTCTCTTGAGCCGGGGCTCGTTCAAAGGGACCTACTATATCCATGCCCAGCTTTACCCATGGACGGGTGGCGAATTCGACTGGTTGAAGAGGTGCTGGAGATGCCTTTGCAGGCTTGTCTGTCGACTGACATACCGAACAGTTCTGAACTTTCGTCCTGACATGTTGACTTAAATGTGGCCACCAGTAAAGCTCCTTGATGATACTGGTGGTGCGCGAGATACCTTGATGGGTTTCGTGAGCTACATCAATAACTTGATCACGGAGAGTGGACGGAACCACTATTTTCTCTCCTTGGAACAACAATGCATCGGTGACTGACAGCTGGTCTCTTACAACGAAATACGGCTTGAATTCTGGAGGCAACATGTCCTCTGAGGGCCATGTGTTTGAAAGATATGTCATGATAACTGGTTATACAGGATCTTTTAGAGTTTCTTAATTGAACTCCTTCTGTGTGAGACATGCACAGACAATTGAAACTACCTCTTCTTCAAAAGACATACCTTCTTCGGTGCCTGGGACCGGAAGGCGAGATAGAGCGTCGGCAACTACGTTATCGCTGCCTTTACGATACTTCATTGTGAAATTATAGCTGAAAAGTCCAGCAGTCCAACGACTGATGCGTCGTGGACGGACACCTGTCCCTTGAGTAGACATTAGTGTGACGAGAGCTTGATGATCTGTCTGGATCTTGAAATGTCGACCCCAAAGATAAACGTGTCATTTCTCGCAAGCCCAGAGGATTGCGAGAGCTTCTTTCTCTCCTGCTGAGTACTTCCGCTCTGCCGCGGAGAGAGAGCGGGAAGCAAAAGCAACAGTCTTTAGTTGCTTCCCATGCTGCTGCTGGAGAACAGCACCTAGTCCGTAATTGGACGCGTCTGTGGAGACGACAACTGGAAGATTTGGATCGAACATTGCGAGAATGGGAGCCTGCTGGAGGCAGGACTTGACACTTTGGAAACTGGCCTCTACGTCGGACGACCAGACAAAAGATGCTCCCTTGCGCAGAAGCCTTCGGAGGGGTTCTACAAGAGTAGCACAGTGGGGGACAAACTTACTGTAATATTCTACTAGACCTAGGAAGGCCTTCAACTGCGAAGGTTCCGATGGAACTGGAAAATTTAGGACCTCGTCTATCTACGAAGGAAGGGGTGCTAGACCCTCCGCAGACAGACGATGACCAAGGAATGGCAGTTCAGAAACATTGAAAACGGCTTTTCTATTTAGTTTCATGCTGGCCTCTCTAATACATTTGAGGACTTGTCTGAGATTACTATCATGTTCCTTCTGGAAGGAACCATAGACAATGACATCGTCCAGTTAAAACTGGACTCCTGGACAGTGTTTTAATATCTTGGACATGACCTGTTGGAAGGCCGCTGGTGCAGACGCCAGACCGAAACAAACTCGTTTGAAACGAAAAAGCCCTTCATGGGTAATGAATGCTGTTAAGTCGCGACTCTTGGGGTCGAGACGGACTTGATGATAAGCAGACGCAAGGTCTAATTTAGAAAAATGGGAAGCTCCACTGAGGGAGTTCAGAAGCTCCTCAATGTGCGGAAGCGGAAAAGAATCAATAACGACTGCCTGCTTTCCGCCCGCAGATCGACACACATACGGATTCCACCGTCTTTCTTCTTAACTACTAAATGGGGGACACCCATTCCGACGCGTTTACGCGCTCGATAGCACCTTGGCGCTCGAGCTTCTGAATTTCTGCACTGACGGCATCACGCAACGTCATTGGTAAGCGGCGAAGTTTAGCCTGTACCGGCGGAACATGGTGCCGGATAGTGATTGTGTGAGTTTGGTTTTTAACTAATCCTAACTCAGGAGAAAAGAGATCCTCGAATTCTTCGAAACCAGAAGGTAACTTCGATGCATCGCTCACCGATGAAGGTTGCAAAGATGGTCCCGACGTCGACGGATCCCTTGAAGGCTGGTCTCCGAAGACGCCTCTACTTGAGTAGTACTCAGACGACGTGGATGGCTGAGTGCCGTGAACAGTGGACAATGATGAAGGGTGCTTGCAGGGAGCACTTGGAGGACGCGATGGACGACTGGGCTCCACCGTACATGGGGGCTGCGGGACTCCAGCCGACTTTACATGTCCCGGGATGGTGGAGCGAGGGTCAGCTGCATTGACATGGAAGCACTTGAGTGGCGCGCCCGATAAAATTAGACGCAGTCCATGCACGGCATCTCTCCCAAGCAGGGATCGGCCATTGCGAACGATGTAAAAAAGAATGTCGGCGGAGCGTTCTTTGAAGTTGACTTTGGTCTGGAAACATCCCATGACTGGAATCGACCCTCGGAGGTAGTGCACAAGAGTGCGCGGCGGTTTCCTTAGCCGGATTTGCTGCTTGGAATTGATCTTGTTAAACATGCTCTCGGAAAGTATTGACACTTCGGAGCCAGTATCAATGAGTAAGGGTAATGTAAATCCATTCACCTGAACATCAGCTGTGAAATTCAGTGGGCGACGGTCGACACGTTCTTCAGGGAGGACCTCCGGGGATCCGACGGTGAAGACGTTGTTTGGCTGTTGTTCCCCCTCGTCGTCGGGAGACGTCACGATTCCATGGATCGGCGTCTGGTTACGGCCAGGTCCAAGCCTCTCGTACCGGCGACCGGCGGCGCGGCCTCGTCCCGGCGGAAACGCCAGGCGACGGGGGTCGATGACTTCAGACGACGAAGACGAACTTCGGCAAACATTTGAAAAGTGGCCTATCTTGCCACAAGAAAAACAAGTAATTCCGGACGCTGGACACTCCTCTCGCGGATGGGGTCGGAGACCGCAAAACTGGCACGATTCCGCCCCGCGCCCAAAAGCGCGCGCGCCCGGAGGAGCATCACGAGGCAGTCGACTTGTAAAAACGCGGGTGAGTCCACGCGACTGGTGGCGCGGCGAGAAGGAAACCTTGGAAGGTGAGGAGGAAACATTTGCGGGGGAGGAGGAAACGGCAGGAGGCCGCCCTCCATTTTGACGTTGCATGTTCGAATTTGACTTCAATTGGCGGCCATCTTGTCCACGCCGAACGGGAACCCTTTGTACTGCCTCAACGGCCTGTGTCGACTCGGAACGCGGAAGACATGATGCAATTTGGCGGTAACGATCGCAATCTCGAGCAGCTGGTTCGAACTGTTGTGCCAGAAGCACGATGCGTTCGAGGCTGGGTAGTCCAGCTTCCGCAGACTCTCGGATTACCCGATTGTGTACCTCCGATGATAATAACCCGGCCAAAAAAACTTCCGCGATGCGGTTTTCAAGAGACTCCCCAAAATCACAAAAAGAGCCGAGGTGCCGTAGGGCACCAAGGTACTCAAGGACACTTTCTCCCTGCGACTGGACGCGGGTGAGGAACAACCTCCGTTCGACAACAGCATTCTTTTTGGCAGCGAAGTGCTGATCAAGCGCCGTCATAAGAACGTCAAATTCGGAGACGGTCTCGCTATGGGCGAGGGCCGTGGATGGGAACGTTGAAACTATTCTTTGGCCTTCGAGACCAAGCAAAGACCACAACAACGCGCGCTTACGCTTCGGCGAGCTTTCATCAGCCTCTAGGACCACAATATAATTTAAAAACGACGTTTTCCAATTTAACCAAGGCTGCACAGGGGCACCTGGCGTGGGAAGAAATGGTGGAGGCGTCGGGAAAGAAGCCGTTGCCATTTTTGGAACTTATGAATGCTCTACGTAAAGCCAATGGCTAGATACGCATATTTGATGGACAAAAATACCTTTCAAAATTACTTAGGATATACATGGACATGGAACATAGCGACGCTATGGTCTACTATGGCTATGGTTGGGAGATAAAGTTGAAAACGAAGGTACCGATTCGAACGGCCGTTACGGCGTTCGCAAAAAAAAAGGGAACAAAGGATGGCGTTACGCCTAACCCTACTGGCGTTCAAAATGGACCATTGACGCTCGAAACGGAACGTTAAATGTCGCTATGCATCGACAGTATTTTCATGTACTACATATGCAAAAGATGTGGTGGATGGGAATATTCAAAAGGACCTCCTTACATTTCGAACGTTAAAATATTACCTTACACAAAAGAAAACTATACAGGCCGGTGCTGCCACCACTCATCTCCGGCACGGAGTCTCACAAAAAAACTCACGAGGGCGAAAATGGAAAAAATGGAAGCAAAAACCTCGTCGCCAAAATGTAATGGTTGCGTAGGGCCATTATAAATGAGTGGAAAGAGACAAGAAAAGCATGGATAAAAACAGCGCCCCGAAAGGCCTGTAGAGATGCTGAAAAGGCTTACATTGCCGGCGCGTGGGCCGCGGGGTGCCGAGGTGCGGGACCCAAGGCGAGAACCCCGACGAAAGAAAGAGACGTCACACCAGCTCGGATTTTTTGTGAAGACTGTTCTATTTTTAATATGTACATGAATCCAGAGACAGCGCGTGCCGCTGTCAAGCACGTGGCACCATCTCGTTGTAACAAAACAAACCACGACTTCTTGCGCCATCTAGCTTGTTGATGGCACACTACACGTATTGCACCCGTGTCGATCATCTCTTGGAGCGCCTTGTCCAGCAGGGCTCGCTTGTGTACGCTGATTGGTCGAGGGTTGCAGCGTAGAGGAGAACCACAGACACACACAGCTTGCTGGCTCCAGGAGCCAGCGTCTGCGTTCGCGTGGCGAGGCGCTCCCAGGAGACGCTTCGTTACCAATGGTGACGGTGAGCAAAACAGAAGGACCTCATCGTGTGGAAGGACGGAGGTGCGTGGAGAGATCAGGTTTGAGTGTTCATCGTGAAAGAAAAGGAAGAAGCTAAGATGGCGGAGGGTGGACTCCGAAGCTACCTTTGCAGATTTTTTCTTTGCGGGACGTGCAGAGAGGGAGATTCGTGACCGTTTTTACACGAGCTGGTCGCCGGAATGCCGGACAACGTGTGCAGGCACTACCTCCGAGGGAACTGCATGTTTGGAAGCAGGTGTCGCTATGAACATATCCCGGCTGGTCGAGGGCACGCCGACAAACCCAAGATTAGCCGAAAAGGTCAGAGCCGACATCGCACCAACGACGGCCATCGAGAGCAGTGCCACACGTCGCTCGCAGCGTCCTCTTTGGGCAGCTCGGCGGGAGGCCACGGATCTGGACTGCCTTCATCGAGGGCGACACACAAGAACGGTGGGGGCTCCCCTTACTCGGACACCGATGCCGGGCCGCGAAAGCTCGAGACGCATAAGGCGCCATTGAACTGGGTCGACGCGCCTGAATTCGTACCCAAAAGCGAAAGCGGCGTGCAAACGTCAGCGGAATCCCACGCACGCCGTCACGAGGACGCTCCGCAACAGACGCAGGATGTCATAGGAGGCGCACTGAAGCCGCTTTGCCCTTTCAGAGCGACCAGCAAACGATGTCTCCTAGGCAAACGGTGCTTGAAGACCCACCTTGAGCTGTGCGACCTGTGTCAGAAGTGGTGCCTTCATCCCGACGACCAAGAGCAGCGGAGGCAGCGCAAAGAGGAATATGTCCAGAAGCACGAAGAAGACATGGAACTTTCTTTCGCCGTGCAGCGCAGCACGGACAAAACCTGCGGCATCTGCATGGACATGGTCATCGACAAGGATCCTAGCTCGGAGCGACGGTTCGGCATCCTGGAGAAGTGCTGCCACGTCTTCTGCCTCAGCTGCAGCCGGAAATGGCGAGGCTCCAAGGAGTTCGACAGTACGACCGTACGCTCTTGCCCAGAGTGCCGCATTCAGTCGGACTTTCTCCCTCCAAGCAGCTGCTGGGTGGAAGTTGGAGCCGAAAAGGACAAGCTCATAGCGGAATACAAGAAGGACACGGAAGTCAGGACACAGCAAAAAACACACCTTTACGTCGTTCAGGCCAGGCTTCGAGTCCCTGCCGCCGAGGCCCTCGTGGGCCACGCCCGCGATCGTTCGAGCTCGCGCCCCGTGCCCATCGCACGCTTCTAAAGGTCACCGCAGCTCTACTGCACACCCCGCATGTCGCTTGCGACAGACTGTATATACGGCAAATAAGGCTGTATATACGCCAGATTAGGCTGTATATATTCCAGATACGGCTTTATATTCGCCAGATAATACTGTATATAAGGAAGATAAGGCTGTATATATTCCCCATATGGCTTTATATTCGCCAGATAAGACTATATGCGGCAGATAAGGCTGTATATAAGCCCGATTAGGCTATATATTTTCGAGATAAGACTTTATATTCGCCATATAAGACTGCCTATATGGCATATAAGGCTGTATTTACGCCAGTCTAGGCTGTATATGTTCCAGATAAAGATTGATATTTTCCAGATAAGACTGTATATACGGCATACAAGGCTGTATATATGCCAGATTTGGCTGTATATATTCCAGATAAGGCTTTGTATTCACCATATAAGTCTATATATATGTCAGACAAAGCTGTAGATATGCCGGATTAAACTGTATATATTCCAGATAAGGCTTTATATTCGCCAGATAAGACTATATATGGCAGATAATGCTGTATATATGCCAAATTACGCTGTATATATTCCAGATAAGGCTTTATATTCGCCAGATAAGACTGTATATACAGCAGATAGGGCTGTATATACACCAGATTAATCTGTATATATTCCCGATAAGGCTTTATATCCGCCAGATAAGACTGTATATACGGCAGATAAGGCTGTCTATATGCCAGATTAGGCTGTATATATTTCACATAAGGCTTTATATTCGCCAGATAAGACTATGTACTGCAGATAAGTCTTATATACGCCAGATTAGGCTTATATATTCCAAATAAGGCTTTATATTCGCCAGATAAGGCTGTATATACACCAGATAGGACTATATACGCCAGATAAGGCTGTATATACTCAGGATAATGTTTGATATAGCCAAATATTTCCCAGATATAAGATTTCCATGCGGGGTGGGAGACGAGGGTGGAAGGCGGCGGGGCGGAGGGAACGTGACAAGCGGTTGGCCGAAGAGTCACGAGCAGGCGCCAGACAGAGCATGCTCCGCGATGCTGGGGCCGGGCAGTAACGATGGAGCCGTTCTGGCTGGTCTGGCCCATGGCGATCCCCGGAGCGGTCCACTAGCGAGGTTTTGACCAGGACCAGAAAGAACGGCGAGCCCTGGCCATACCGGCCTGGGCCATGACGATCTCGGAGTGGTTCCGCAGCGAGACTCGGACGAGAAGACAGGAAAGAGCGCTATGAGGGGCCCTGTTGCGCTTTTTGGACTCCCACGGCGACTAAGAAGAAAAAAGTGACGTCAACAATGCAGCAAACGCAAATTGGATGTTGATTGGTGAGAGTCGCTGACGACGAGTCTCCGCAGAAGAAAACAAAGAAAAAGTTGGTTTTGTTTTCTTCTGCAGATATTTGTCATCAGCGACTCTCACCGATCAACATCCAATCTGCGTTTGCTGCGTTGTTGATGCCACCTCCTTTTCCCTAGTCACCGTGGAAGTCCAAAAAGCGCAACATAGGGCCCCTGAAACCTCATGTTGCGCTTTTTGGACTCCCACGGCGACTAGAGAAAAGGAAGTAACGTCAACAACGCAGTAAACATAGATTGGATGTTGATTGGTGAGAGTCGCTGATGACGAATATCTGCAGAAGAGAACAAAAAAATGTGAGCTTTTTTTTTGTTCGGCGGGAATTCGTCAGCGACTCTCACTAATCAACATCCAATCTGGGTTCGCTGCGTTGTTGACATCACTTCCATGTCCCTAGTCGCCGTGGGAGTCCAAAAAACGCAACATGGGGCCCCTGGACAACCCACTCCGACTGTGAGCCCTGAACGACGGGCGACAACCAGGATCGTCGGGCCCGGAGTGCTCGCTCCCTTAAATTGGCAACTGCGAAGGACATTAAGCCCATTTGTCTTCTCGTTGCACTGAGTCTCTCCCTGGAAGACGGGCGAAGCACAGAATAATCGGGCGGTGATTATTGATAGAGCGGGAATACTATAGAGAATACCACACCCCTTAGCTTTTTCAAGAAGTGTGCTGGCTACTTCTGCCAAGAGTGCCAACGGGAACCCCGCTGACACTCTTGGCACTCCTTCAATCTACCAATTTGTCTCCCAAAACCTTCGATCGTCTTGTGGGCGCATGATTTTTTGAGGGCCGAACCAAGGCATGACATCGTTATGGTCCTCTTGGTCGCCTTTGTGTGGGAAGATTTAAAATCCAGAATCGCCTTTTTAGAGCGCGGGAAAAACGACCAACATAGTTTTGTCACCCAAATATATCGTCAAATCCAGGAACTGCAGAGCCCCTTCATGAAGTTCCTCACAAGTGAACTTCAGGCCGCCACCACACTTTTCAAGAGCGTCTAAAAGGAAACATCGTGTATCATCTTCTGCCCCCTCATGCAAAACCAAAAAATTGTCTGCAAATCGACAGACCGTTTTACAGCCGATGCCCCAGAGCGGACTCCACAGCTTTATCGACCCGGATAGGTAAATGTCGCTCAAAAGTGGAACCACACAGGACCCAATACACACTCATTGCTTTTGTATGAAAAAAGAATTGTTTCAGCCTACTACCATCGAATTCAGACAAAATTGGAGCGTCTCTAGGAAGTCTTCCATGGCCACTCCACTGCAGGTTCTGAACCCCGGTTCCCCGTTCGTTTCAATGCAATATCTAACAGAGGCTAGCTGCTGGTCATGAGGTAGCGAATAAAATAAATCCTCAACGTCAACGCTGAAGGCCGACCACCCCGTGGCGTCGTTGTCTCTTAAAAAATCGCACACCACCTCAGAGTTGGCAACCCTGAAAGGGTCCTCCACGTCCAACGGAGCCAACTGTTTTTGGATGAACGCCGCCATCTGCCGTTGCCACGTGCCCCTTTCAGTGACGACAGCCATAAACCGGTACAAGTCTTTATGTGTCTTGTATAAGATTCCTTTGTGATGTAACAGGTGCTACGCGGAACAAACAGGAAGATGTTTGAATGATAGATTACGAGAACATTTGTATTTGCTCGGAGCCATGGTTGGGGGCCTTTTGCCGATTCGTTGACGAGGGTGCAAATGTCGGCCTGACTTTGGCAGAGTCGCCGTTCTGGGCGCATACGAGGATAAGGTGACAAGAGAGATTATAGAGGCCTTCCACATTTCGTGTCATGGGCATTAGTGTGTTAGTGAACCTTCATTGGCGCTGTTAGCAAAAAAGATTTTCTTTCTACGGGAAAAAATGAATGACATAATAGGGAGTTTTAGAATAACGTACGCAATTTTAGCGCACGCTAGCGCTAAATTTAGCGCTTGTATTAGCGCACGCGGCGCAAGAGAGTTTTAGAATAGCGTTTCTCCGCTGCGACGCAAAAGCCCAAGCATCTCGCGCTTGCGACGCCACCAAGATACAGTAAACATTTTTATTTCACACACGAAATGCTGTAACTTTAGAAAAAAAACGAGTTTTTTGGTCCAGAGTAGTGTTTTAATTTGTTTAAACATGAGAACGCGACGTGAGCGGTTCAGCGGTCGTGTCCGCTTGCGTCGCCTCAGCAAGAGAGGTCTCGTGTACTGACCTTCGCACATCATACCTTCGCCGTGAAATGTTCGCGCGTCGCAAGCATCAAGTTGTCGGTAATCGCTGCCAAACCGAGTACAATGTCGTCCCGTATTGAAAATTGCAGTCGCGAGGATACCGCCGACGTCGCACTCACGATGCCGCCAACGCAGCCGCCGACATAATCCTGGAAGCCGCCATGTTTTTTTAACTATGCTCGTCTTGGATTTAGCCAACTTCTCATCACAAATCCTCCTAGGAGAAGCGCAAAGACTCTTTGCGTACGCACGCTATTTCCGAGAAATAGCGCACGCTAAAATTGCGCACGCAAAGCGCAAAACCTGGTTTGCGTTCGGAGCATGCGCAGTGGCGACGACGCTATTCTTTGCGTACGCAAAGCTTTAGCGTGCGCTATTCTAAAACTCCCTAATGTACGGGTAGAAATGTCGATTATTAGGGAGTTTTAGAATAGCGCACGCTAAAGCTTTGCGTACGCAAAGAATAGCGTCGTCGCCACTGCGCATGCTCCGAACGCAAAACAGGTTTTGCGCATTGCGTGCGCAATTTTAGCGTGCGCTATTTCTCGGAAATAGCGCGCGTACGCAAAGAGTCTTTGCGCTTCTCCAAGGAGGATTCGTGATGAGAAGTTGGCTAAAGCCAAGACGAGCACAGTTAAAAAAATGGCGGCTTCCAGGATTATGTCGGCGGCTGCTTTGGCGGCGTCGTGAGTGCGACGTCGGCGGCATCCTCGCGACTGCGATTTTCAATCCGGGACGACATTGTACCTGGTTTGGCAACGACCCCCGGCAACTTGATGCTTGCGACGCGCGAACATTTCTCGGCGAAGGTACGATGTACGAAGGTCAGTGCGCGAGACCTCTCTTGCCGAGGCGACGCAAGCGGACACGACTTGTCAACCGCTCGCGTCGCATTCTCATGTTTAAACAATTCTAAAATAGTACTCTGAACCAAAAAAACTTGTGTTTTTTTTTTCTTCTAAAGTTACAGCATTTCGTGTGTGAAATAAAAATTGGTACTGTACCTTGGTGGCGTTGCAAGCGCGAGGTGCTTGGGCTTTTGCGTCGCGGCGGAGAAACGCTATTCTAAAACTCTCTTGAGTCGCGTGCGCTAAAATTGCGTACGTTATTCTAAAACTCCCTATTGACTCGCTTCACGGTTGGTAGGTGTGTTCCTTTGTTTGTTGGCAATCTTTTAAAATACTGTGTATGTTTTGTCTGCCTTTGTTTTTTTTTTATTGAAAGTCTTCAGTTGCGAGTACAAAATTTCCTGTCGTGTTTTTTCTTCGTCGTTCGTGTTTTCAGAGCTGCTTTCCCCATCGTGTATATCGTCAACCGATTGGCATACTTCACCACCTTACTGCAGTTTATTACTTCTACATCGGGCTTCTTCTGCCGACAATAGCAGTTTCCTTGGTAATTCATTCGCTCTCGTCAATTGCATGGCACGTTTGTGCAGTGCGAGAGTTGCGTCGTACTACATAAGGCAAGGTGCGTGCCCGGCTGAGCTTATTGGACTATGTGGCCTGCTTGCACCGTCTGTAGGACACACGCGAAGGATGTACCAAATTTTCTGGTCAGAGTACCGGCGACAGGAACGTTTTAATGCGAAAGCATTAACTGATCTCATGGAGCGAGCCGGCGTCATCAGCTTTGCAACCATGCAAAACGACGTAATGAAACCACGCGCAAAGCTATCCAAAGGCACCTTTTACATTTCGGTCCCATTGTCTGGCGCGCGCTGACGAGGCTCCCATTGGCCGCAGCGCGTCAGTTTTTGTGGTGTCATCCTGACTGTGTTATCACACTGTTGTGTCATCACTGATCACCGCGTTCACTCGCCTCTTATCAGTTGTACGGCGCGTGGCAATATGTACGTCGCATGGAATAAACCAAGAAATCCGTTCTGCTTTG